TCAGCACTTACTAGGAAAACGCTCCAACGTTTCAATTAATTACAAAAGACTCATATGTATGAAGATAATGAGACTTATCGGGGCTTATAGAGTTGAGCTTTGGGGCTCCACTAAGCCATCGAATTCCTCTCGTATCCAATCTTAACAATCGAAAATCCTTCGTAAAATCGTTAATGCTCCTTATTTTGTCCTAAATAAATGACCTAAATGTTCCATATGTTTCCGATTTGGCCCAATCCAGATGTCTATCCTTCCATAAGAAACTTCAGAACCATCCTGATCCTCTCTTTTCTAGCCCTTGTTCCTCCTCTATTTCTGATTTCTCTCCTAGACGTCTGAAAAGAAAATGCCCTCGTGATCTCCTAATTTAGATACTTTATTAGAGTGATACCAATGGGTAGATTCTCTACAAGCCTTGTCATCTAATGTATTTCTCTGTATCACATTTGGTGAATGTATATTAATTTGTAACGTTGTAAAATTCATAAATATTAATAAAAACAAATATTTTGGATGACCCCCAAACGTTCATCATTTTTGTTTCCTAACATTAAACATTGTCGATTGGGGCTGATCAGTATGCTACGTGATTTAGCAGCTCAACATTGAGCAGCTTTACGTACGGTTTTATTGTACTTCTCCCTCTCTCTCTCTCTCTTTTCTTCTCCTTGAACCATTATTTTGCCGGATCAGGTAAAGTATTCTTTTCTGAATTATGCGGAAGATTAGCGGCTTAGCATTTGTAATTTTAAATTTGTCCAATTGAACTTAATTTCGCTCCCTTAACCACAATTGCAAAAAAATGTCTGGTTTTGTAGATACAGATTCGATTGAGTTTATAACTGTGTTTGTCTTCAGCCGTTCACGCAAATATAATTTCACTGTCAATAAAGCAGACGATGAAGCAAAATTATTGTTTGAACAACGTGACAACCACTCATAAAACGTGAACAGTTATTAACGGTTGTTATAGGGCAAAGCCGCATTCTTGCTTCCATGGCTACTGATAATAGAAATTAATAAAGATTATTTAATAGCATAGTAAAACATAAAATAAATACACTTGGAATTTCAAGCCAATTTGTTTTTCGAAATTGATTAACAGATAGATACTAAAACGGTACCCACACCTATTAAACATATATGTTGGTATGTATGCGATGAAGAATAAAAGATAAAAAAAAAAACCGTACATTTTTATTTTATATTAAAAATACTGATAAGTGGAGATAACAGATGAATCATCACCGATTTCAATGAGACTTTTTTTTGCACGTGTTACAAAAATATTTGTAAAAATGTGTATTTAAAGTTTCTTGTCATTAAGTCCGACTAGCCGAGACAATTTTTTTTTTCAAACGAATAATTAAAACACGATTATTAATGGTTAGCATTTTTTTATTATATTTTTCTGCTAAAACATTTCTTTTATTTTAAGTCGCTCAATTTCATTTAACAATAAAGAAAATATCGTTTATAGCAATTGTTTTCAATTTTGTAACGTCCATAAATTCGTGTCTATGGGAAAAATTTTACACATTTCGAACCAATCATAGGATTATTTTTGCACAAAATCGGTCTTGGTCTTGCACTTTGCACTTTGCAAGACCAAGGCCACCTAACTGTTGCAAGACCAAGATTAGGAATGGTAAAAACAATTTTTTTGAATAAAAATTAAGGCAAAATAGTTACTAGTAGTTGACAACCTTAGTTATTATATGTAAATAATTAGTATAACCAATATACTTTAGCATTTAACTCCTCTAATTTGTCATTCGGGCGTAGTAAGATTTCTCCTATGTAAAAAATTACAGTAATATCTCTATAGTAATAAGCTAATAAGTAACTGCAAGACTGTTTAGAAACTCTTGCGCAAGACCAAGACTTAGGCCAAGACTGAGTTTGCAAGACCAAGACTCGTCTCGGTCTCGCATTTTGGCAACACTGCATAGTATAGCAATGGTGCAAATTTCGTTTCAGAACGAATAAGATTTCCTTTTGTGGTTCTATGGAGTGAAGTAGCTCAGTGGTAGGGTACTGATTTTCCAATGATCAAGATCTCGAGTTCGAATCTGGACTCATGGCATAAAAATTATTTATTCTGTTTTAGCAGGCGTGGGACGATCTTGGGATCAGGAGACCCACCTGGTGCACACACAGCCTCAATAAAGTGGGTACCTTTAATTAAATAATTAATTAAAAGGGAAAATCTGGCCGTTGAGCGTGATCTCAGTCAAATCACCTCCTTGCACAACCGCTGACTAAGTTGCACCGCTGGTGCAAATTTTTGCGGTTCTTAAGTATCACTTCGCGCACTGTCCCATCACCACCTGAAAGGACTTTTATGACACTTTCCTTAGACCAGTGTAGTGGGGGTATGTTAGATTTCCTTTACAAGACTAAGTCATTGATGTTCTTCTGTTTGCGTGTTTTGTGTCAAAGTTATGCATTTTGGTTTTTACTTGTTGAAAATTCATTAAACTTTAATAATTTGAAAATTTCTGAAATTGGCCTTTAAATGCCATAAAGGGAGAGAAGCCTGGCTTGGGGTTCCCTACCTAATTGTATATATTGTATATAGGTATGACTGTGTTTTTATGTTTTTTCATTTACTCATCTTTAGTTTATTTTATTTTTTTAGTGTACATAGTTTTTTATTATTATTTTACTTTTATTAATTTTATATTTTCTGTATATATGGTATGAATGTGTTCATGTATATACTAGCATAAAAAAAAAATGCTATAACACCTAACCTTATTGTTCAAAATAGGTACTACTAAGTCTAAGGAATTTAATAAGAAAACAAAAATACCCTATTCTTTTGGTGTTATAAAAATTCTTAAATTGACTTGGAAAAATCTTAATTTGAAATGGAAAATTCTAAATTTGATTTGAAAAAAATCGCAATTTGATTTGGAAAGTTTTAAATTTGATTTGAAAACCCCCACTTTGGTTTGCAAAATTCTCAATTGGACTATATATAAACTTCAGCCCACATATTATCTTAAATTTGACTTATTTTAATTTCAGTTCTGCTTGAAGTAAATTAAAAGTTATGAATTTTTAGAATGTCTACAAAATATACAATTTTGACCTTAAATATTATAAATTATAATTAATTATTATTACCACGAAATCCATATTTTTACGAAATTCCTGTTTAAAAATCTCTGGTGCATCAGGTATCATAACACATAAACACCTTTTAGCATTTGCAAGAGGGTGAAGCTGCTTCTGATAAAAAGGTTCCGAAATAGTTGATACCTCAGAGTGGAGTAGCAGTATCAAAACTTAACTTTTATAGATGAAATCTTTATAGACAAATTGATATATCAATATACCTTTTTCCACGTGTAATTCTAACAATGTCTTGTTAATACATATTATAACGTCAATAGAGATTTAAGATGAGAATTGGAAGCCTAGCCAAGAATAGATAATGCTATAAAGAGACGGAGGGGGGAGGGGGAGGGGCGAGGAGGGGGTGCTGTGGGAGTAGTGGTCGCGTGACGGAGCTCAAGGATTTGAGACCACCGGAAAGGAAATAATCTCAATAGAGAAGGCCACATTGATTAATCACTTTCTTCAAACTTCCAGGCGTCACGGAGGCTAGCAAAAAATGTTTTTCATCCAGATTGCCATGATACACTACAATCAACATTATATCGACGGTCAGGCTCCAAGGGCCTGTAAGTACAATTTGATTGGAAAATGTGGTTTTGAACATTTCTGGTTGATCTTGGACAAGCGCATACCCAAAATTACAAACTAAAACTTTATTTGAAACATTACCTCTGGTTGTGGTAACGATTACAATTTTGCAACCAAAAGATTATGTGTTTAATTTTTAATAATAATCGTTATCCAGAGTTAAGATTTTGATGTATCTCGAATTGGTGTTGCCCAAAAACGGTTTTAACTTGTTATTGTCCAAGATCACCTAACTGTATTAAGACCAAGACCGCCTAATTGCAGCTAGACCATGACGGATCGTACAAGATTTGAGCAAGAACAAGACTGACCCGTGTGTAAGTCAAACTGGGACTTGGGCGTTATTGAATATTTGGTTTCAATATCGCTAATGATAGACTTATCAAAACCAAAATTCCTTTTATCCAACAACAAAGTTGGTCCTTATAACATTAAAAACTATTGTATTGATTATTGCATTTTGTAGTAAATTTTAACCTAGCATTGAATCAAAATGATTTTTTTTCTTGATGAATCGGGTATATTAGCTGGTAATAATAATAACTTAAACATTTTTCAGGACTAGAGGAAGATAACAGATTAGAAAAAAGCGTTTTTGAGACTAAAAATTAAGGAAAAATAGTTAATAGGATAATTTTAATTATTTTTAATTTTATTAGGTTATTATTGAAAAAATTCCAAAGTACACAGCTTTATGTTTCCCAAATGCAGGCAAAGTAAAACCCAGGTACCCAGACAGAAAAACAGGTAATGGAAGACCATTCCATGCATACATTTAGTATAGTATGCTTTTGGATTTTATGGAGTGATGTTCTTATGCTGTTTTTCTGTCCTGATGATGCCTGAATTGGCGAAACGTTGACGGATTTTTCTTTGTCTGCATTTTGGAGACATAAGGCTGTGTAATTTTTCCAATAATAACCTAACATTCTCCGACGTCCTTTCTCTTGATTATTTTGCTGCAAATTAAAGTTATTTTTTTTTAAATTTTATTGGACTTCACTATGTCTTTGTCAATGCAAGCTCAAAATGTACCATATTTGTTGCGTTGTTCTAAAATCAAATCTACCGTTGTTTAATAAATAGCAATAAGCTAATAGGCAATTGCTGAGACTTGTGAGACTCTCGCCATAGTGCGCAATACCAAGACCAAAACTAGGTGCGTTGACGCAAAACAAGATTAGCTAAATCTCGTTTTGGTTCAACATTAGGATATCATCAGAAATAATAAAAGTGATTTTGATTACATTACCCGTCAATATGTTTAAATAAAATGAATTGTTTACCTTGATAAAGCCAGTCGGGAATGCCGTTGTAGACGAGGCCAGGCCTGCCATTGGTGGTGATGGGGCGCTCGTCGGGCTGTCCCGGGGAGGAGAGAGTGTAGATGTTGTTGTCATCGGCGACCAGGACGATCCGGGTGGTGTTCCCGCACCACGAGGCGTACCGCAGCCAGCTCTGTTGGACCTTCGTCTCCTCCTTCAGCCTTAAGGGGATGTGGTGGCTGGTAACAAAGGAACAACGTTAACCGATTAGTCTGTCTCCAATGTGCAAATCCGGAATATAACAAGTCGGTTGTATATGACATATTAGGGGCGAAATGTTAATCAAATCAATTCAGAAAAAAAAAAAGAATACATTAAAATATTTGACCATTATCTATATACACATCACGAAATAGGTAAGTATATAAAAACTCTGAAACACTTGGAAAACGCCATTTAAAAACGATTAACGTTAAAAAATACATTCAACAAATAAACATTTTGGTGCATGATCCAAATTTTTAGTATATAGTTTTATTTTAATTGATAAAAACTACCAAAAAGATCTGTGAAAGATAATATTATAGTAAATTATTTTTTTTTATTCTGAGAGCCGGTATATTCACTCTAAATATTTAGGTAGTGTGCACAAGCTATAAATTTACATTGACATAGGGTAGTTACAGAGGTTAAGGTAGGATAGTTTAGTGGGGTTGTATTTATAAAATATAATAGTAGGTTATATATTTCATTTTAATTAGTTTTCAATTAATACTTACTCATTCCTTACATCGTAGATTGTATAGTAAGCTAAAAACGTGTTTTTATAAACCTGTAAAAAAGAGATAGATTAAAAACATATTTATATAAATTATATGTTAAAATATTTATGATTCTCTATTCACAAATTCATTCACAACTTTATTGAACTCGACATTTAATTTGATTACTTTTTTAAATATAGATTTTAATCAACTTGTATATGAATTCGTGAGTATATAACCGGCATCATAAAATACATTATAGCTTAGTTCATAAATCGTCAGTTTCTGGGATTTTTGACACAAAAAAGGATTTAACTATTTTTTTTTTTCTTTCGTGAAATATACAAAGATGGACCTGAATCCATCTAATTGATTTTTTTTTTTTTTAAATAAATGAATGAAACAACCCAGCGTTAGTAGTGCCCAAAATTGGTCTTGGTCTTACACTTTGCAAGACCAAGACTAAGACCGCCTCACTGTTGAAAGACCAAGACCAAGATCGGTAAAAAAAAATCGATTTTTTAAATAAAAATTAAGGCAAAACAGTAACTAATGCTTGACAATTTTAGTTACAATATGTAAAGAATTGATATAACCAATAAACTTTTGCATTTAACTCTTCTAATTTTTCATTCGGGCTAAGTTAGGTTTCCCCTATTTAAAAAAATACAGTAATATCTATATAGTACTAATCTAATAGGTAACTGCAAGACCGTTGAATGACCAAGACCTAAACCAAAACTGAGTTTGCAAGACCAAGACTCGTCTCGGTCTCGCATTTGGTCAACAATACCCAGCGTTGTTTTTATGTGACCTTTCATAATGAACCAGTTGTGTTACCTATCAAAAGCGATACGAAGGAAATTTTGCCCATCAACTGCATGCAGTTTGACAGTTGCAATGTTTAATCTTTTTGTTGTGTAAGGTTCTCAACTTCCAGTAGAATAAGGGGAAACTAATGTATCGCATTTAATAAATTTGATAAAACAGTAGAAGAGCTCATTTATTATTGGACAAATTTCATTTTCTACCTGACGGAATCAGTCTAACTCCGGGGTCCTTAAAGTTATATGGCCTGGGGAATTCTTCGTCCTCTTGACCAACATTATTTTTGCGGACATTATTTAAACCATAATCATTTTATTCCGTTATGTTCCCGAATAATTATAGTCCGAGTTGATACTATTATACTCCTTGTTATACCTTATATGATTATAACCCTTTTTTATCAAATTATTAACATTCGTCATAAACTTCGGGAATGGATTTATCTTATCGTAACATAAACTTTTTTATTTACGAACATTATCTGAAATGGGACGTTTTCAATCTGAGGATCGTTAAAAATTGTTTATTTAAACTTTATCATGAAAACCCACTTGCTTTCGACTTGAGTCGTAAGATAATTTTATCACAAAATCGAGAAAAAAGGTGGCCTAAAAAAATATTGGTGCATTTGGCATGACCTCCATCCAAAACATGTCAAAATAACGAGGTAATATAAACCAAGCGTTACAACAAAGTGCAAAAATTGGGTTGATTAGAGTTTCTCTACAATTTGTAAAAATAGGAAAGCGTGGGTGCTATTTTATGTTAAAGTTTTTTGCAGGGAAAGAGAAAAAAGGAGTCCAAAAACTACTTGTACCATTTTTGTTGTTTTTGATTATGTGTACATAATTAATTGTTATAGAAAGGTTTTTTTTTTTTTTTGGCTTTCTTTAACATTTGTCGAATTTTTACTCTGGGCTCCTTTTGCAATTGCGGGACGATATGCTTTAAATTAAAACTGAAAAAAAATAATGAATTTCCTCCAGAGATGACGTCCGGAAAACCCTTAAATATTTTTAAGGGACAGTTTTAATATGTTCTCAGTAAAATGAAAATGACATCCAAAGTGGATATTTAGTGAAGGACTCAAACTTGAAAATGGCCCTAGTGTTGGTCGAAACGTTGTCTAGATAAAACGAAACATAAATAAAATGTTGGTGGAATTATGGCCTCAATTTATATAAATGAACAAATGAAATACTGATTCTTCATCCAACCGTTGTCCCTCATACCAATCAAAGTTCATTAATTCAATAAATTTAAAAAAATTAATATAAATATACCAATGTAACTTTTTTTTTTTTCATTTATTGGTCATTTACTTACTTTCTTAACGTTATGACGAAGAAGAACAAAATTGAGATCGTGAGAACCTTGAAACCACTTCACATTCAACTGCCTCTGGAAAAGAAACAAATGAAAATTCTCTAAAGAGAAAGAAAGGAATTTTGGGTGTAATTTATAAGAAAACATTGTCTATTGTAAAAAAAATCTGTTCTAAAAGATAGTAAACGTTTTTTTCTAAATTAAGATAGATGTTCTAAAATTTTTAGGGAATAATAATTTTTTTTTCCAATTTTAAGTCAGAAGTAATAAAGTCGTAAAAGATAATGAACGATGAAAACAATTTTAATTGTAACTTTGTTTCCTCTAATTCCATCATTTCACCATTTGGGATGCACCAGAATAGTTTCAAGGATTTAAATATTTACTGTTAGGTCTTACTTTCAGTTCATACTTTCCTGCTTCTCAGCAGTATAGCAAATGTACCACTTGTATAACTAAACGATCGAAATCAATTGGTTCCACGAATACATTCAAATGGTACTATTCTTTGAAATTGTTACACTAAAATTACTCATGTTTATAAAATGGCCGACATATAAGCTGTAAATAGCAGAATCACGATGATAAATCCTCATATATAAGTATGAGAGTAGAAGCTGGATGGGTCAAATTCAGTTGGCTCCCATATTGGCTATTGAAGTATGCGCATATATACATAGAATATACGGTAGCCAATCCTATGATTGATGGGCTGTTAGATCCAAAGAACAGGTCATGCTGGGTTTGATGGAAGAAAAAAATATCGTTTTATTTTTTAATAACCATACATTAATAAAATTATATTAGCGCTTACTCCCATAGTCATTCAAAATGGATATTGCTAATTTATTTTTAAAAAAAGAGAGAAATAATATGTTATTAAAAGCTTTTTATTAAATATAATGCGTTTGTGTTACAGGAGACGGCATTATCAAGGATCTTTAAACAAATATATATTTTTTTAATGATTACTTAATTTTAATACTGTTAATATCTTTTTTAATAAATCAATTACATTGAGGGCGGGGTGGCCGAATGGGCTAACGCGTGTGCACTGCACCGCCGTTGCCCGGCAACCGGATATATGAAAATAGTCACGAGTTCGCGTTCCGGTGCCAGAGGGGATTTTAAATTCCCCGCCCTCACCCTCTGGTCCGGGAAAAAATCCCGTATAGCCCGTATAAAGGTGAGGTAGGGAAGAACAGAAAAAAAAAAAAAAAAATCAATTACATAGTGGTTTTAGGCGACGTTGTCAACCTTTACCAGAGCAAGAGAAAACAATATATAAATATTAAGAAAAAAAGCAATGAATAAATCAAGTATGAGCTATATTAGGGAAAATTAAACAATAAAATAAGTTTCAAAGAAATATACGACAAACAAATTAATGTATTATGTTGTTTAAAAAAAAAATGAAATAATGTATATTTATTAGAACAGTGGATTAAGATATATTTATACATATTAATTAGAATATATGCCCATGAGGGTGAATGTAATATAAAATATTTTCTATTTTTACTTTTACTTACGTATGAATGTAACATATAGTAAGGGTAAGTATTGCGATCGAAAAAAATGTTTGAATCTGAGTTTTCAACGGAAATACACGTTTTGGGATACCCTGAGTCCAAATAACCAGGTCCCGAAAATCGGTCTGTGTGTCTGTGTATCTAATATAGAATGTTGTAGAAGGTAACGAAGAGCAGTGAAAAAATTTAAAATAATAATTTTTGAAAACTAATAATATTTAACGTAAATAAGGTATTTTCAAGGAAATTAAATGAAATATACTAACTAAATGTAAACTTTTAATTTTTTTTAAGTTTGAAAAAGTATTTAAAACCCACGGATTCAAGGCGATGGCATTGTTTGAAATACTATTTCATTGTACTTATGTGAAAGAAGAAGTGAAATATAAAAATATTTCATGGATACGTTTATAACCTCAAATATATTTACTGCAGTTCAATAACTCTAGATCTGATATTATATTTAAATAATTAATTATCTATCTTCCGTTTATTCCAAAAGATCCTTATTTAACCTTTTAGAAAATTAAATTAGTGAATAATTTGGTCAATTTTCTCTTTGCGATATTCCAACAGAATCCAATTACAATCAGTGTGACAACTTTTGACCAGTCTATGACAGATAATGCAAATCTCTCTATTCCGTTTTAGTTAACTGCAATGGAAAATAACAGTTTAATAACTAATAGTCGTACAATCCATAATCCACGAATCCATAATCAACCGGTGGTATAATAAATAGGACATTTGTTATTTTAATAGTATTTATGGTTTGTTTGATGTAATCTTTTAGCTTTAGCTCAGTTAAGAATGCTGTTCAAAAATTTTATAATAGCCCATCATAGCCAGAAAATAATTTCTATTCGAATTTGAGCGGTAAGTGAAAGTTGTGTGTTGCGCGCACCAGATTTTACTTTATTAGGATTGTATCATGTTTTGCCTATCTACGAAGAAGACTCCAAAATTCACTCAAATATCAAGTCACGAAAATAAATACTTTCCAGTGCAATAGAACCGCAAAGTGGGATGAGTGAAGCAAATCTCGCGACATTGTCGAAAATTCAAATTCCTATAGTGACTTAAACTTTTTTTTTTAGGCTTTTTCATCACTTTTTTTAAATATCCGTTCAAAAGTTTATGCATTAATTTACATGGGACAAAACTAGATGTTTTTAAAAATCATTTACAACTCAATTGTAATGATATTCATCTTATAATTAAAATATTTTATAGTAAGTACATTATATTTACAAAAAAATGAAACAATAATAAAATAAATTCGTATAATTAGACTAGAATTAAATAATTTATTTTCGGATTTAAACCTTCCATATTAATAAATTTTCAGAAAAATTCAACAGCTACAGAAATGCATTGCGTTTTATTAAAAAAACGGTTTCAAACAATTGTAATAAGTTATCATGCAGTTCCCTTCCAGCCTTCGAAGGGTGCACATCGCGGTTTGCGGCTTTGATCTCAGTACAATAGGCCCGCTGTTGTTTGGTTTCCGAGAAAATAAGTTTATTTACTTTCGTGTGTCTGGTTTCCAGGGACAGTTAACCTTGCTATCTTTCTTACCCATGTGTCTTATAGTGAAAATGTGTTCTCTTTAAAGGAATAATCTGTTTGTATAGTTTTTTTTTAAAGTGAAAACAGACACTTTACTTATGAGTGCACGCCAGTTAGCTGGCTCGAGTGGACTGTCGGATCAGGCCGTTTTGTCAAAACTGCTGAAGAGAAAGGTAAGATCCACTTCAAGTATTTCATCGAAAGACGGGACAAATGAGAAAAAGAGAGCGAGTTCAAACAATTCTGTGATAAAAACAACATCAAAAAATCGTAACCAAAAGCAAACATATGTTAATTCACATAACCTCCCTAACTCCACGAATACTGAAATGAATACTTTAATTATTGAAAATAATAACTCTGCGACCCATATCATTGAATCTATACTAGAACATGATGCTAACAACACTGGAGTACCAGAAAATGTTGTTCAGAGTTCAAATGCAACAAATGCACCATCAACAATAAATAGTATCCCTAACGTTCCGGTCAGTAATAGGTTTGAACCTCTTTCTACGGAAATGGAAGACGAACCTGACGAAACAATAGTTACTCATCAACCACCTCCAATTAAAATAAAAGGCATAACAAACTTCCAAACTCTCTGCACGAATTTAGTAAGCCTTTTAGGAGAAAATAATTTTGAATGTTTCTCTAACAAATCGATTGTTACATTAAAAATTAAAACAAGTGAAGCCTATAGAGTCTGCATTAAATATTTAGAAACAAACAATTACAACTTTCACACTTATCAATCCCAAGAAGACAAACCATATAGGTTTGTTATTAGAAATCTCCATTATTCAACACCACACGAAATGATAAGATATGACCTTGAAAGAAAAGGATTCAACATCCGTCTCATCACTAATGTGTTACACCCGAGATCAAAAGAACCACTCCCACTCTTCATTGTTGACTTAGAGCCAGCTCCAAACAATGCTGAAGTTTTTAATATCACTAACTTGGCTTACACAAGAGTTAGGATTGAAGAACCTTACAAAAGAAGAAATATTGTTCAATGTATGAGATGCCAAGAATACGGGCACACCAGAACATTTTGCCATCATAAACCACGATGTGTGAAGTGCGGTCAAGATCATCCTAGTGATAGGTGCCAGAAACCACTTGAAGAGCCACCTGTTTGTGCGTTGTGCAGTGGCAATCATCCTGCGAACTATAGGGGATGCATAGTGCATCTAGAGCTGCAGAAAAGAAGACTCAACGTGTGGAACCAGGCCACTTCGAGTAGAGAGGTAACAGAACACCTGCCTCCAGAGGCGGAACACGACCGACTTACTTATACCGTCCCTATCTCGCAAAAACTACACAACACGACTTACGCACAGGCAACGTGTACTAAAACTACATATCACAACACAACACCACAATTCACAACTGCTCAAACAACGAGTGTAACTCCTCACTACGCAATCTCTCACAATATAGCTCCTCATCATACAACTCAAATTACAAATCCCAAAACTTCAAATGAATCTTCTCGTTATGTAATCCCTCACAATATCATTCCTCATCATGTAGCTCCTCAAATTACAAATCCCCAAACTTCAAATATATCTCCTCACAATACCATTCCTCATCATACGACTCCTCAAATTACAGATCCTCGAACTCCAAATGTATCTCCTCAATACACTACTTCTCATACTACAAGTATAACTCCTCAGCACTCAATAAACCAAACGAGTATAATCCCTGACCGTTCAGTACCTCATTATACCCAATCTCAATACATACCGCATCAATACACGTCAACCTCATACTCAAGACCTCATCACACAACATCTAATACACAACCTAATACTCCAGATCTCTCATTATATTTTAATTCCTTCTTAAACGATTTTAAATCTATGATAACTCCGCTCATCACTCTTCTCACCACGCTAATTACCAAATTTATTCCTCATGTTAGTCCCTAATTCTATCTCACAACACTCTCTAAAAATCCTTCTTTGGAATTCAAATGGAGCCCTACACCGAAGGAATGAACTTGACATTTATTTACATGAAAATGACATTGACATTGCATTACTAACAGAAACTCATTTTACTCAAACTACAACATTTTACATACAAGGGTATGTATTGTACCGCGCTGACCATCCCAGCGGTACTGCCCGTGGTGGCTCGGCAATAGTCGTAAAACGAACATTATACCACTATCCTCTTCAAATGACTGCCTTACCAGAAATTCAATTATCATCTATTTCGGTTGAAATCGATCACACCAAAATTTCTATTGCCAGTGCATATTGTCCTCCGAGACAAAGAGTTTCACAAGAAACGTTTACAGACATACTTGGCAGCTTAGGACCTAAATTCTTATGTGGAGGCGATTTTAACGCCAAGCATGCCCGTTTCGGCAATAGGACCAATAATTCTAGAGGAAACTCTCTTTTTAATACATGTATAGAACTGGACTATAACTGCATACTACCACCTGAACCGACTTACTGGCCGACAGACATAAACCGTCAACCAGAATTACTTGATTTCTTTATAACTTCTAGCCTACACACACTACACCATCATATCTCTATTAGTAACGACTTATCATCAGACCATTCAGCGGTTATTTTATCTCTCTCTAGCCACATGTTTACTATCAACCACACACCTACACTAACTCCTGGGCCAATATTAATTGATAAATTTCATTCCATTATTAATAAGACTATTGATCTAAACACAAGATTAAAGA